TTGGTACAAATCTAATGATTAGTCAGGATACAGCAACCCCAAAATCTAAGATGCATTTGTGTTTTAGGATTAATTTTATCTAAGTCGTTTTCCTCGCTGCAGTCATGAAATGTGATTGTGAAGCATCTTTTTATTACAGAAAACATCTTAAGGAGCTCAATGGGGATTGTTTTATTCAGCGCTTATATAACAATAGCAACTCAACAACAGACCCAAAGTGGATTTCTCATTCCAAAGCGAGAATGAATTGCTCAGTGGGAATCGGTGTTGACATTTTGCCCCGAGTGCTTGTTTCCGTAGACTTTCTTGTCATAGATGAATATTTGCGTGCACACAATTACCCAAGTATGTCTCGTGGACATAAATCTGTATTCAGTCACATTTTGGGGGAGTTGCGTAGTTTTTAAGGACAAAGGTCAAAAGTTAAATTATGTAAATAATATATTTTCCGGTGAGGAAGGTTTATTCAAGACTTACGAAATGCTAAAAATCAGGAAGTTACTGAGAAATGAGTGTTGTTTTTTTTGTCTGTTATCTACAGGTGCATCTTATTTAGATTCTCATCAGAAATGTATTTAAGCAATCCAATTTGAGTTTCATATCACATTGACACCATTCGCACAGTAACGCATCTAAAACATATACCTCTGTTAAAGTTAATGATTTTGGCCAAAAGCAAGTGAAAAACCAACATTCAGATTGATAAATAAAATACGATTCTGGAGACATGTGGAGCTGCTGTCTAGTCCATGACTTTTTGGCTTTACTGGTCATTTAAAATAAATTTGATTTAACAGCAGATGTTAAAACAAGATGACTACCGAGACTCTGAAGTGAGTGGGATCGGATCTGTATGAGCATGACTGGTAAAATGTGAATTCTGGCTCAGGTTACAGCAAGAAAAGGTGCAACTATGTTTAAGACTTTTACTCCAAATCTGATTCATGGATCTGTTCAGGAGATTTCAGCGCTGTCCTCCAGTCCTCCACCGCATTCAATACTTGGTTGAAGCTCCTTTTGCATAAATAAGTGCAGCAGTGAGGTTTTGCGTGGAGGCGATTAGCCTGTAACAGGCCAGCTTCCTTTGCCCTCGCCTCTTCTGCTTTATTGCTTTTGATGTCTCTTATCTCCTTCTTGACGATCCTCCAATCAAACACAGTAAAGCCACGGTCATTAAAACGGGTATAAGTGGTTATGTGTAAGCAAATGCCAAGTCCTGTTGGAAAATGAAATCGGTCTCTCTATAAAGTCTATTAACTATGCATCTCATAAGCACCTTTAAAGGTCACCTTACATTATGAGCCAAATTTTAAAGGAAATTTGCAAAATAAAAATCAAAAGACAAAAGGACACACCACCCCGCAGTTACCATAAAACTACGGTGGCAATTGATGATTCCCCCTTCTTGTAAAAAGAGGGAAGTATGAAGCTCTCTGAAATTTTCCGCTTTGCTGACCTGATTAAAGATAGTGTACAAACAGCAGCACATAGCATGCTTTTCTTTTCCAGGCTTTGAGACTTGATTAGCAACAAAATGCAAAAATTACTTTCATCCAAAAGACAGACTTTGGAAAACTGAGGAATAGTTTGGTTCTTATTCTTCTTAGCCCAAATAAGATGCTTCTGACATTGTCTCCAGGTCCTGCCATGGTCCTTGGCTTGGGAGACTCCATTCAGTTTCTAAATTGAGCTTTGCTCCACAAACTTCTAAAGGATTTAACTTTTTCTACCAGAGTTTTTTTTTCTTTAGCTAAGCTTTCCATTAATATGCCTGCATGCAGCACTCTGTAAAACATCCAGATTTTGTGGCTTACCTTCCCTGGCTATAATGTCAGAATGTATGTATGTATTTAAAATGCTTTTTTATTGGTTTTATGTAATGTGCTGTTTTTTTTTGTTTTTTTGTTTTTTTTTGTATAAAATCCTAAAATATTGAGACTTTTTTTTATTATTGTAAGTCAAAATAAACAAAAATATCTTGAAATATGTTAACCTATTCAATCCAAAGAATCTGCCTCTTCTATTTTATTACTAAAACCACCTCTTTTTTTTTAGATTCCAATTTGAGTGCTACCAGAATGTGATCCTAATTTAAAAATAAATAAATAAATAAAAATAAAATGGATTCTTCAGAATCTTATTGTTTCTACTTGACTAACCTTTACAGTCTTATGAGGGATGAAAAAAGTCTTTAAAAGCAAAAAAGAAATAAAAAGTAATTTTCTGTTAAGTGCTTTCTCTTGGTCAGCCTATTGTGCTCTGAAGTGATTGAACGAGACATTTGTGTATGTGGTACTTTAGAGCTCCTATGGGTCCCCAGCATGATACAATGCTGCCAGACGATACTCCAGCTAAGGCTGGGAATATTGATGCCTGTGCCGTGCATCTGGTTTCTTTTGGCAATATTAATTTGTGCTTATTAGCCTTGCTGTAAGTGCATGTGTCTGTGAGTGTGTGGTGTTATCCTGTGACTATAATGACTGTTGACTGTATTCTCTCTTCCCTAATGACCAATCTGTGGAAATGAGCCTAATGTGATAAATCATGAAATTAGTCTTTTTAATTGGTATTGTTTGATTTGATGAGTACCATGTGTTTTAATTACCCTGCTCATTTTCCAATTAAGCGTAGTGGATTGTCGCCCATTGGGACTGTCAAAATGAACAGACTTTTAGAAGTCTGAAGGTTTGTTGCCTGTCAGGAAACTATTGATGGTGTGAATGAAGGATCTTGGTCATGAAAATCTGATCGATTTTTCTGTTAGGTCTTTCAGTTTGATGCCTTGTCTTTAAGAGTCGATCTCATGTTTGACCAGTTGCTTTGGTATAGGTAGTTTGCAAATTTTAATTTAAAAGAAATTGTTTACAAATAAGGCGAAATGAAATATCTTCAAAGTGTCTGTCATTCCCAGTGTCACCGTGAAATTCTGATTACAAAATAAAATAAAAATCAGCTCTGAATGTTTGAAGAAACAACTGAATTAGTCATGGATAACTTGGGACTCTTTCAAAAGCGTGTAGTCCAGATATATTTTGCAAAATGAGAAATTTCTTCACACTTCATTCAGGACACCTACAGGAGTACATCCATGCCATTTGGCGCAGCACTCCAGTGATTCATTTGTGGGGAATTAATGACAAGCTCATCTTTCTTCCTTGGCTGCGGCTCACTGAACCCACCACTTTTACCACGCACAACAAATCTTCATACAAAGGAAATAAGGAAATTCCATAAGCAAATATCACTAGCTATTAGATAACATGTTAAGGAATCATGTTTGAAAATAACTCTGTGTTGTTTTGTATCAATTAGACTCTTTCCTTGACTTAAAGGATATCCTACTGTGTAAATTTGTATTTACTCCCTAACAACGCTTAAAAAAAAAAAAAAAACATTTAAAAAGAAGCTTTTTTCATTCTGAGCTGCAAATCCATTTTGTGTGTTGAGACACTAATTCATTAAATTTATAAAGAGTGAATAGTGCCTCCAGTATAAGATGATGGCATTTGTAGAACTAGAAATTTCTTAAGAAATTTAAACGGGGCTTGCCAAAGCGTACCCGTTGGTTGGAACCCAGCATTCTGATGCTAAAAATGAACATCAAGTAAGCTGCAATGTAGTCAGTAGCATGTGGAGAGTTACAAGCATGTTGAGTAACATGGACTTACTCCATTCAGTATGTTAAAATTAGTGTATAAGCTAACACACAAGCTCTGCCTGTGTGACCACTGGATTATTGGTCATGTCTGTGATCAATACTCTTGTCTCCTTATTAAACAGTTTGGTGGGGTGGCCATATATGGCAGCATCCTAGTGGTTGTTGTCACGTCCACAAAAATTGAGATCACTCAATTTTTGGCAGAGATTCCTCCTGCCAAAACGTCTTCATCCACCATCCAGTCTCAGCAGTCAACACACAGCTCCTGTGACTTCATTGCTTGGTTTCTGCTCTTATGCACTCAGCTGTGAGACCTCCTATAGATGAGTGTGTTTAATTCTGAATCATGTTGAGTTAACTGAATTTACTACTGTGAAATTCACTCATGTTAAAGAAAATGCTGCAGAGTTTTTTTTTTTTTTCCTGATAATAGTTGTAAAGATTTATGTAGCTGTTTTTAAATGTTTAAATCTGTTAAGGACCTACAAACACTGGGTGGTGGTTGTGGATATTTTCAAAATAATTTTCGTTTTGCTTTAGAGTAAGTGGGAAAAGTGAGGGGGTTTGATTTTTTTTTTTTTTTTTCTCTGAATGGATATGTTCCTTTTGAAATTTAACACAGCAGACTATATAAATAAACTACTGGTGTGGTATGAAAGCAGTCATTTTCCCATATCAGTTGTTGTAGTTATTTTCTTAAAATTCAGCAAACTATGTAAGCTAGACACGCCACAACAGTTATGATTAATGATATAAGAGGAACAGAATTAAGACTTTTTTTTTGTTTTGTTTTATGTGGTAAATAGTTTCAAGTTTTGAGTTTTTAAACTTGAAACACAATCAAGACTTAACTGGTAATCTTTTTTTTTACTTTAGCTATAAACCTCTCACATGTAATAGTTCAAATACAAAATGTTGAAACGTGAAACACTATGTGATGTGATCTTATTCCATTACATACAGATCCTTTTGTTACTTCAAGCATGCTTTACAGTTATGATGTGAAACCCTTATGTTTTAAGTTCAATCCTGCTAATAATAACCCTTAAGCATCTCTTGTTTTATCATGATCAAGAAATGACTCTTAAAATACTCTTCTGACTGTAGCGTACCATAATAACAATTCAGAAGCCATTTTTTTCCCCCTCTCATCTACCATCTGTCCATGAGCACACAGTCACAGGCTTTTAAACCTTTTACAAGTAACGTGTACCGTATGGCTTCAGCGCTGCAGCAAACGTCTGGCGAAAGGGACATGGTGGCACATGACGTCCTTATCCTGTTCAACCACTTTCCCCTGACCTCCCCCATTCTCTTTGCCTTTCTGTCTGTAATTTCTTAGGCTATCCACTCAGTTGCCTGGCATCACGAGGGAAAACAGTTCATTTGCAGTCACTCAGATGGAACTCTGACCATATGGAACATCAGAGGCCAAGGAAAACCCATACAGACAATCACACCGCATGGTAAGGGGATGAAGACTCACGAGCTGCGTCTTCATTCACAACGTCACCCACCTATTTAATATTTTGCTCCCAACACATGCTCTGTGGCACTCTCCAGAAACCCAGAGTTAACTGGTTTAACAACTTGAAGATCCATTTATCATAAGGAAATATGTATGTCGGTTTTAGTTTTTAATATTAGATGTAACTAGCGACAAATACCAATTGGTATAATGTTCAAAATTTCGATAGGAAATGAATATCTACAAATAATACATGAAAATACAATATGAGTTTGTGGCAGCATGCTTTTCCCAAGATATAGATATGCAGTGAAACTTTAAATACACCCTGGACAGGTCGCCAGGATATCGCAAGGCCTAGACAATCCAAAGAGCTTTAAGAAAACAGTTCATAGACAATTGCTTCTGGACCCGAGTTTCAAAATCTTAGGAAGAGTTCAGGCTCTTGGGAGCCGTCCAGCAGTCTTTCCATGCCCTGAATCACATGCCCAAGTACAACCTAAACATTTGTTTTCAGAAAATTTTCATTTGGACGCCTCCGTATTTCGAGCTTCCACTGTATTTGTTATTACTGTCTGTCCAGAAAGGCCTATGATGCCCTGTTGCTATTTGTATTATAAGCAATAATTGAATAATGTCTTGAGCAAAAGGTTATTTGCGTTTCAATTATTTTATAGAATCAACAAATCATCCCTAAAAGTTTTTTTTTTGTTGTTTTTTTTTTCCCCTGGAAATTGACCTATTACATAATGATTTTATAAGGGTCAATATGATACAATGCATATGCACAGGAATTGTTATATATTTTCACAGCTGATCACAGATTCTTCCATATCCAGTTAGTCCTGTTTCTGCTCATTCTTCTTTGTTGTGTGCTGCCATATTTCATTTGTAATAAAACTTTTTGAGTTTTATGTAAAAAAAAAAAAAAAAATGGCATGAGTGTCTGAATGAGAGACACTCTTATGTCATTTTCATTGATGATACAATTACCAGGTTAGTAATGGCATATTAACCTGGTTAACTTCATTACCAGGTCAACATTTGCAATGGAAAGAGAGAGTTGCAACATCATCGTAGTAGATGGAGTGTTCATCCATTGTGTGCTGCACTCACTGCAGGCCCCCTCTTAAACAGTAGACGTCATGTCAGAATAATGCTACTTCTTCCCAGCAAGAATGAAACAAATGAAAAGAAGCACAGGCAGTACATTATTCATACACAACCTCACCACAGTTGGAGTGGCCAGCATTTAATTAGGAGCCTAATTTTCTTAAAACAAAGCAGGATGTTGCCATGGGTGGATTCCCTGCTATATGTTACCTGGGAACATGAACTGAAATGCCTAGGACATATTTAGCTGGCTCTTTTGTCCTCATCCACACTACCCAAATCCCCTGTAAGTAAATTTTTGCTTTTCCATGCAGCCCTTTTTCTCCACAGATGTAGTTCATCAGCAGATTTTCCTGAAGCAAAAAAAGGGGGAAAAAAAAAAATCCTTTGAGCTGTTTTCAGTCATTCTTGTTGCAAACAACCCAAAAACTAGCAAATTCAGGACTGAAAGAATTGCATTTACTAGGCAACTATTTTTAACAAAGTTTGTATTTTGTGATTTAGTTCACATTGTTGCTGATTATAATTTTTTACTTAATAATCTGCAACAATTTTGTCTCCAATTTTTTACCGTATGCTAAATGACAGTATGTATTTTCAAAGGGAAAAATTCTTGATCTTTTTATCCTAAAGAATATCTCATTACTTTACCATAATGCTAAATGGTATTGTCATAAAAATATTAGTTTTTTTGTTTTGTTTTGTTTTGTTTGTTTTATCGTTTGTTTGTTTTGGCTCCACGCATCTGAAAACCTTGATGGCCTTGATTACTTGTTGTTTAACTTCGGAAATGATGTGCACAACTTATTCATAGAACTTGCTGCATTGAGATATTTTGAAATTTTATATCCTATTTTTCAAACATATCTATTTGCTTAATCCATTTTGTCTAAAAAACATAAATAAATAATACTTTCCCCTTTTGGCTAAAAATCGACAACCGTTGATTCTGTTGTTTTTCTTTCGTTCAAAATCCAAGCTGTCCATTAAACATGCATCATGCATTTTGTTAGATGCGTGCTCACTGAAAGCGTTCCTCCACGTATTTGCCTGCTCATGATTCCCTTGCAGTTTCAATTAGAGGTTCTATTGTCAGCTCGGTTATAATCCGCCTCTGTTCGCTGTACCTCGTGCCTTAATACATGCACTCCATTGCCGCCGCTCTGTTTATGTCGTTCTGAATGCAAATCGACTCGTATGAAGATGTTTCACTTCGTACCTTTCTGCCTCCCTGCATCACATATTCGCACAGAACACCTTGACAGTTTCTGGACCTCAAAAAAAAAAAGGGGGGGGGGAGGTTGTGTGGGAGTGTCAACAAGTCAGAGAGCAAAAGAGTCTAGACGAGAACAAAGACAGTAATTAAACCAAAGGGAAAAAGTTAGACTTTTCAAGCTTTTTTTTTTTTAGTATGCAAGGAAATGCAGAAAGGATTTCACCACACCAGCTTTTTAATTAGTTGTTTCCCTCACTGCTTCATACGTAATTACTTTGGTATTTAATGGGCAATTATGCAAATTCCTTTGACTCATTTAAGTAAGGCTTTTAAGTCCCTCCTTAATTGTCTTTTTTGATATCCGTTATTAAAAGTGTTCTTTATTTTAAACAGATTTGCTCTGTACGCCCTGCGGGAGGGATCACCTTGGAACATCAGGAGTCATTACGTTCAATGCCTTATCGTTATACAAAAATCTAAATGCATTTGAATTTCCTATACACTCGAAAACCCCTGAGGTTTAAAATTGATTGTCTCGGCAGAATCGCCAGCAAACACCAGACCTCTGCAGCGCTTATCCATCGTTGTCTTCCTCTCCTCTGCTGTAGAAGTCTTCTGTTGCTGTTACGACTGTTCAGCCCAGCGTTTTAAGTGTTGCTTCAGGGGGGAAATTAAGTGACGAGAAACACGAAGAAAGGAGGAGACGAGGAAGCAACGAACGGGCAAAGTAAAGTAACTTCTGTTTGTTCTATTTTAGGAAAACAGCCCAAGGATGGAAAGAAGCCAGAGCCGTGTAAACCCATTCTTAAAGTGGAATATAAAACAACGAGAAATGGGTAGGCTCCCTCTTACATACAAGAATTTCTTTTTTTTTTTTTTTTCCAAAAATAGCGTACATAGTTGACAAATAACACAGCAAGTTCCTTAACATGGGTTAAAAGCTGCTAAGCTGCATTTGCCATGCTATGTAATAATGTTTTATAGAATAAAGTTTCTGAATAAAATGATGTTCTTCTTTAGCTAAACCAATTATGGCACAGTCTAACAGTGTGATTTTAATCATTTGTACCCAGTTTCTTAAATACGCAATATTTAAAATACTTAAACCTCTATTTATCTATGTATTTATATTAGATATTTTCACTATAACCATAAATTTTTTTTTTTTTTTTTTTTTTTTTTTTTTTAAAATTAGCTAATATTAAGGTGACAAATGTTAATGACAACCTTGCAGAAAATGTCTGGACCACATACAGCTGGTCAGTTTTAAAAATGCACTTACCTTAACAAGAGTGACGAGGTTTGCTTTTCAAAGCATGACTGTGGCTTTTTCCTAAGGGAAATATTTCCGTCCATTATTGTTGCAAACATAGAAAACGTGTAGCAGCTTTCTTTCTACCAGCTGAGCAGCAACGTGCCGCAACAGGTGGGGTGAAGGCACAGCTCTGTTTGTTATAGAGCGAGAAACTGGTTAGATTGGGATCTCTTAATTTATTAAAAATATTGGTACATCTTGATACCGGTCATCATGATTAATATATATATACAAAACAGTTGCAATAGTTTGACGAAATATTGTGTTGCTATGCTTCTCGTCTATATGTATCCAGGGACCCTTTCATTATATTCTCTGGTGGTCTGTCCTACGACACGGTGGGACGCAGGCCATGTCTGACAGTTATGCACGGAAAGAGTATTGCGGTGCTGGAGATGGATTATCCTATCGTAGACTTTCTCACGCTATGTGAGACACCATATTCTAATGGTAAGTGCACGTTTTGGTCAAAACTGGCACACTTTAGGCACATCTGTAAGCAGTATTTTCATGCTCCTTGTGGATTCAAACACACACACACACACACACACACACACACATTCTTCAGTCTTTTTTTTAATTATGTCAGATTGCTTGTAGCGTTGCATGTTACTGCTTTTTGCAATAAATTCCCCAACGGAATGGATTCTACCTCTCTTTCATTATCTGAACAACAAAATGTTGCGTTCCATTTTAATTTCGTAACTTCGTACATAAAAGGCTTCCATCAGAATTGAATTATTGTCTTCTTTCCAATGCTGGCGCGTCAACAGTTTAAACAAGTCCGGCCTTTTTGCTGAACAACATGGGGTGCTGAATGTGTGTAATCCTGGGTGTAATCTCTGCTGCTACGTAATGTGCCACACGTACAGTTTGAGGGAGGATTAGCAGATTATGTAACAGTTCATTAAATCGCTGGGAACCTGATGGCACCATCCACTGCTTTTTTTTTTTTTTTTTTTTTTTTTTTTTTTGGGGGGGGGGCCAATTGGGGTTTTTTTTTGCTTCCAAACCCG